ATGAGGTCACTATGGGTTGGAATTGACTTGATGGCACTTAACAACAGTGTTTTGATTCTATAATCAAACAACTATTAGGTATTTAATGGTTTACAATTGATCGCTAACCCAAAGGTTGGCGGTTAGAACCCACCTGTGGCTCCACAGAAGAAAAGGCCTGGTGAACTGGTTCTGTAAACATTACAGCCCAAACACCCTACAGAGCAGTTCACTCCACACACATGGACTGGAATGAGTCAGGGCCCATTCGGTGGCAGCTAACAGCAGCACGTATGTAGCACCGTGTATACTAGAGGCCCTGTGGGTTAATGTGCTGGGCTGCAAGGCTGGTTTGAACTGCACGGCTGGTGGTTCAAGCTCACCAGTTGCTCCTCAGAAACCCAATACAGGATCGCTATGGGTGGGAACCGACTTGACAGCACTTAACAACTGGTGACCCTGTATAGGGTTTCTGAGGAGCAGCTGGTAGGCTTGAACTGCCGACCTTGCACTTCAGATAGCTTTGCAGTGCATGATCATGCAGTGCCACATCAGGACTCCTAACAACAGACATGATGAAAAACGTGGAAATGTTTGACCTTTCCCCTGGGGGGTTTTCAATCTAGTTGAAGAGATGATAAAAAGTACCTAATCTGGGTCCTGGTGTGGCGCTGTAGGTTAAGCACTGGATTGCTAGCCACATGGTGGGTAGTTCACACCCACCAGCTGCTCCTCAGAAGCCATAGACAGGGTCTCTTGAGGCAGAACTGACTTGACGGCACTTGTAAGAGTCCCTGCTCTTACACTCGGGTGCTCCAGACCGCTTAGCTGCCGGCACTTAGCAGGCGTGGACCTTTTGCAGTTCACCTCCTCCCCCCAATCCCGAAAAGAAACGAAACGTAACACATTTGTCTTCTTACCCAAAGTAACATTTCAGAGCAGAAAGTTGGAAGGACATTTTAAAGAACCTCTGAAAAACCGCCCTGACTTCTTACCTCCATTCCCCTCTCACTATAGTAACCCTCCATGGCCATATTTCTTGGATACACAGTTTAGGTTTTGTGTGGCGCTGTGGCTTAATGTGCTGGACTGCAAGGTCGGTTTGAACCACAAAGTCAGTGGTTCAAGCTCACCAGCCGCTTCTCAGAAAGAAACTCTATACAAGGTTGTGATGAGTTGGAATGGACTTGAAAGCATGTAACTACTACGACAGTATTGTTCTGAAGTCCTGCTGTGGCACTGTAGGATAAGCACTGTATTGTAAAGTTGGTTTGAACCGTAAGGTTGATGGTTCAAACTCACAAGCTGCTTCCTGAAAACTCTCTACACAGGTTTGCTTTGAGTCAATGGCACATAACAACCCTAAAAGAATGCGCTTTGAATGTTCAAATTTCTTCAACTTCTTGTATATTGTAATCATGTTGGTTACATTCTTTCTCTTCTAATACGTTATAATAACAAACAAACAAAATGACTTTAGTTCTCCAAAGTAAAGCCACAGAGCAGCTGTACCGTATTAGATTTGGTGGTTCACGGGTTTCGGGCACTTACTGCTGCATCTCTTACCCTCAAAGGAAACCGGGATTTTAGACCCAAATCTGTTGCTAATTAGCAGTTCACCTTGGACAGGTAACAATCTCTCTGGGTTTTAGTTCCACATCTATAAGTAGAAAAGGTAAGATAATAATTTCTGAGAGCTCATTACCAGAACTAGCTTTCTTAGATTTTTGGTTTTTTTTTTTTATCTATTAGGTTTCTACACCTTCATCAGAAGAGCCAAAAAAAAAAAAAAATCCATTCAGCTGAAGCAGCAAGGTGTATGCTGTTGTTAGTATTGTGAGTCAGTTCTGACTCACAACCCTGTACAGGGTTTCCTTGTGACCCAGTGTTTATTCTAGCAAGATGTATACTGGAAAGTAATTCAAGCAAAGACCACAGTGGAGAGTGAGTTGTTGTTAACTGCTGTCGAGTTGATTTTGACTTACAGTAACTCAAACCGACCTTGCAGTCCAGT